GAATATTGATCAAATAGCATAGAAAAATAGAGCGAAAGACGCTCTATCTGTTCATTAAAAGAGAAATGTGTTTGAAGCGCTCCTTAAGAAAATAAAGTACCTCCCTCACTACTTTTGGATTGCCCTATTGTTTATGTTGTTTTCGTTCGCGATATGTATCAGTTTTTTTTTCGTTAAATAAAGAAACTAACCAATAATCTTCTGCTTTTCTGCAATAAGTAACTATGCGCAAGATCAGTTTAAAAAGAGCTCGTGAAAACATTCTTTTATTGAGATGTCAAAAAATATTTTTTTAATAGAAAATACAGTAATGTCATTTTCACAGAAACTTGCTGTGCTTGTTTCTCTGCAAAAAAACAGAAAGGGGATGAATCCTTTTACGGTTTCTATCTACACTATGAACCCTACCTATGAGCAAAATATGAGCTCAAACGGAGTGTATCAGTTGGTGAGGTTCCCTCGTTAGACATCAGTATTATCTTGTATCGTTCCAAATGGTGAAAAAATTGCTGTTTGTGGTTCGTATTTCGTCTTCTTCAAATTAAGATATTGATAACAGCTTGTTTGGGTATAACAAAAACTATTTTTATCAAAGATAAATAATAACGTCCATCATGGATAATTCATACTTTTTTATAAGTTGGAGGATGAGAGGTAAAAGTGATAACACGTAGTGAAGAAGCATGATATAAATAACAAAAAGATGATGAGTTTTGGCGTAGTCACATTATAAAAAGCGTTGATTATTGTAACAAGTAGACATATAAGCGGAGTAGATATAACATCGGCCAAGGCAGAGCGAAAGTCTACGGTTCTAACATAACTTTGTTCTCAATTTTTAGGACAAGAAGCCTTCTTGGTATCAAATATGACAAGTAATAGCGAAAGGGATGAATTCGACAGTGTTAATGGTATTGTAGTTATATGGTATAATAAAAATGTCGACTTGATCAAACATGATCCCTTTACTCGATCATTACGACGTCTAACCTATCAATAGATCAAAACGTTCGATGATTTGAACTAGTGGCAAACCTCAATCGAACAAAGTCAAGATAAAGCATTGCTTATAACTTCACTAGAAGATGGTCAACATATCATTTCAATTGTTCACGACTTGCTTCAATTGTATTCTATCTATATTTTTGATACTACGCAAGCTGATCAAACATGGATTAGAAAGTATTCAAAGGTATATGATATTTTTTTTAAAATTTCTCTCTAATTAGTCCTTCTGGAAACAGTAGATATTTTCTTTCACACATCTTGATCTGACAATGCATTCAGATGCCCAGAGCACATTGAAAATAATACATGTGATTGTACAAAACATTGTGGAGGTTGAGATCTTCTGTTGTCAAGGTTCTTCAATAGAATTTCTATTTAAAGACAATGCGCATCAATATTTGATTCTTGAAGGCACTGCCCATTCAGATAGCTGAAAAAAAACAAATATAAATTTGGTTTTTATTTTTCACACTTCACATAACTCATGTACGAGGTACAAAATTTTGTCAAGCTCATTCATCTATTATTAATCAGCGCTAAAAAACTATGTCATTTCTCTGCTGAAATATCTTTGAAGTAGTTAGAAAGTTCGCATGATATGTGAAGTTCGCTGGTAGATTTCATAATCTCTGGTGCTAAAATATAGATACAATAGGCAACAAACTTTTTGGAAATACTATGAAATCATCCCACACAGTCCTCATAGTTTCTGTTGAAAACGACTTCCGTACAACTGTAATCCATTCCTAATCACTTACAGCGCTTCTTCTTATTATAAGGGGAATATTTCTGGTGAACTCTTTTTCCCCTGAATTAAGCCTGAAATACAATCGTCATCACAAATATTTGATTTAGATCTTTAAGGAGCATGAAGAAAACCTAATCTATCGACATATTATTTTGCATTTTTTCATCAAAGTTAGTAGCGTAACTGAGAACTATGTGATTGAAGAACTCAAACTTTCTGACCTAAACAAGTGAAGTCTCGCGCTTCTTAAAACTATAAACAACCACTAGCCATGATCTTGCAAATTTTTACTTCAGAATTTCCAGTAAAATGTCAGTTGTCAATCGAAACAAAATTCCCGTGTTTCTCCATTTTCTATGATCTGTTCGTTCGCTGTTCTAGACGGTTCTTCATTATCAAAAACTGCTCATTCAATATAACTACTTTTCATTGCAGACTAACAAAAATCTGTTTTGCTCTTTGCAGCTATTGTATTTTCGATCACATTTTCATCTTACATGTTGTTGTGATGATAGGATTCTGAATGTAATACACATTAAAGAGGATCCTGATTACGATTAGAATAGTTTCATAGTCTTGCAAGTCCACTTTCAGCAAATATTTTTTTGAAAATTTGTTTCACAGATTCAATAGCGATTAGTAAAAAACGGAGCAAAGCTGTTATAAGAGGAGGCTCACCCGTATTTCTCCCGAAAGCGAGAAAATTTTCGTTTTCGTCAGCTAACTTCCTAAGCAGTCGTCCCATTCCACGATGTTGAGCATTCCAGAGTCAGTTCCGTTCAATCCCAAATTTACAAAATGAATGACACCACGATCAGTAGAAATTTTGGAATTTCTTATACTATAGGACTACCTTCAGCTATCGATTTCGTATCGGATTTCCAGAATTCGAATTTTTTTATTAGCGCATCCTCTTCCACCATCGAATCAGTAAGAGGATTCTAGAGTTGGCAGGAATTCCTTAACTAGTGGGAATTTCTCGACTTTTCTTTTCTCTATACAAAAATGACAAGAGAGCATTAAAAATTATCGGCGATTTTGAACGAAATTATACACCATCATCTGCTATTTGGTGGTACACTAGTGATACGTTCGTCGTTAAATTCCTTAACACAATGCTTAGATGCCAAAGCACCGAATGGGCACTTTTACTACATTTTTTTATTTATGATTTATATCAACAACTTGGTAAACTATTCAAAGAAGTGGAGAAAAATTCAATTAAAAAGGTTTATCGGGGACAATTCATGTCAAAAAGCGAACTTGATTTATTGCAAAGTTTTCAAGTGACAGATAGTCTTTTCGTGAATCAATTTTTCTCGGTGACCAAGGATCATCAAGTTGCGAATATTTTTGCTGATATTGACGATAATGATAGCTGTCTCTCCGACGATAATTTACAAAAGGTATTGCTGGAAATTACAATCGCTAACGACACGCAAAAACCGTATGTTGATATCAAAGAACTGAGCTCGAAAAACTCTGAAAATGAAATACTCTTTTGTATTGGTTCATCATTTCGAAAAACGAATGTTACCTACGGCGATAACTCACATTATAACATTTGATTTTAGGAAGATCGAGGATTATTTTTATCCCGTATGCGTTCAATAAAAAAATTAAAAAGCTGATTAAGAGAGATCAATATGTTAGATATAGTTGAGGGCTAAGTGAGCCGAGTCGCAGCGACGAGCGTTACTTGTTATTAAGGCCTTTCTTTTCATATTCCGCAACTGTGAAAGATGTACTTATAAAACCAGAACACATTACACAAAGAGTCAAAAAACAGCCATGGATAACAGTTATCGTGTAACTGAGCAGATGATTTCATCTTGTTCTGTTGTGCCAACAGCACGAAACGGTCAAAGTCCATCTCTAAGATAAGGCCTCTGTGTGATAACAGACGTATCAACATCAGAGAAAAGTGACGTGATGATAGCAAATAGTGACGCACACATTTTCTGTCGACTTTACTTGAAAAGAATGTCTTCTCTGCTGATGATGAGTAACGACTTCTAAGTGACGTAATTACTGGCACTTTAGATGGAAACAAGGAGCGCAGTTAATAGAGTTAAAGCCGGCTTGCCTGCTTTCAGTGAATGACGCTTATCATGAAACAAAACGAGAGAACTGACTGCAGTTTTTCAAGTAACCAGTAATGTCGAAAAGCAAAACATTCCACAATCTTTATTAATTTTTCTATCTCGGAACAAAATACTATTTTTTCAGCGAATCACTTGATGCAATTGATGAGCAGTTGTTTGTATAATAAAGTCAAAAATAAATTTTACCCGATTTTTGCGTTACGTGTACCTTATATTTTGAAAGGTCAAGTTCTACGTTTTAGAATGACTTTGAAAGTCACATTTTGTTTGCCTTCGAAGAAAAATACGAAAGAAACTGAAGAGGTACGGGATTCTATAATTTTGACCAGCACTGTAACTTTTGTGCTACAATGTCAAGAGGGATTCCAGTAGTACTAAGCGTTCTTCTGTTGTAACGAGGCTTTCTTGTGTACATCCGTTTGTTTCATTTTTTCGTTTACCAGTTCTGTATTTATTGTAGAGTAATTATACAGTTATACAATCATTTCAAATTTATTGATTTCACAAGAACCAACAACATTATCTTTAAATACAGTCAATTTTGAAACTCCACTTAGAATGCATCGAAGACAATCTAACCGCTATAACTCTAATCGAGAGTTAATAAATCTTGACACTCATCAGTTAATCTGATGCTCTGAATTTGTAGGTGACACTACCACTGTCCAACCGTCACTTACGATTGATCAACTGAGACAAGTTGTTGATTACACAAAATTCTTTGACAATGCCGACAAGTGCCATCAATACTTAGAGCAAACAAGTACCACGGACACATTCCTTATTATCTCAGAAAGCTCTAGCGAAAAACTGGCTCCACTTATTCATGAACTGAAAAATATCAAGTCAGTTTACATTTATTGTGGTGAGGAACCCGATTTTGAACAGTCGCCGTTCCAGCCTGATTTTACACAGGTATGAAAATATCATAATCATTTTACTTCCGTATTCAAAATAAAGGAGGCACCGCTATTTTTCTTGAATAGGTACTTGAAAAAGGTGTCACTCTGCATTTGCACTATTCGAAAGAGAACATTTGGAGAAATGTATGCATGTAAAAATAAAAAAATTTCGCTGATATATGTTTCTGAAATATTATAATTCAGAAAAATTAGGAAAAATTACCGGATTATCTTGAGAATAAGTTTTCGAGAAATTCAAATATGCCGAGGGCAAAAAGTTTCCAGATTTTGATGAAATTTTTGTCGCGGGTTCACGACGACATTCTAACTTCGCATACAAAGTTTCAGCTCGGTACGACTTAGTTTAGCGGACATACATTTATCACAAGTGTTAAAAATCCAATTGTCTACGTATTTGAAGTTGCACCCACAATTTTTCAAATTAGCACCAAATTCCGAGTTAGAGCGTGTGTAAGAAAAGTTTTTTATCGCATCATACCTCTATACATGATGAAAACACTGGAAAAGTAGAGGTAGACGAAAACTAATTTAATATCAAAGGCGGGCAGAGTTATAACCATTTTTTTTTGTTTGATCTGCAGATAGTCACACATCTTTTCTGAAGATAACTTTCAGTTGTCGCTCTACGCGTTACGTGTGTACCTTTAAGTTGATTGCAATAATACGATTTTTTTAGGCTGTCAAGCAAAAATATGCTGATCTAGAACGATTACTCAACCATTTGACAGAAGATGTGGCTCTCTATTTGAAAAAATTGAAAGTTGGGATTTTTAGCGGGATCGGTAAACAGGAAAGCACAACCGACTTACCGGTTTCGTGGTGGCCAAAATACATACAAATGCTATGTCATTTACCATATCCCGATACTTGCCGTACAAACTTTCTTATTGCGCTAAAAGAATGTTACCAAGGTAAAGACGTAGAGTTGAGATTGTCGGACGAATTTGAAAAAACATACACCTCAGACAGCGCAATTTGGTGGTACACACGCGATACATTTCTCCGTCGTCTTCTAAACAAGGCACTAGGACAACAACACACTAAACTGATATTTCTTTTTGGCTTCTACATAAAAGATATTTATATTACACTGTAATCTGAATATGAAAAATTCAAAGCTCGATCTTGCGATGAAGGAGCTGTAACAGTTTATCGTGGACAACTTATGTTGCTGAATGAGATTGAAAGTTTGCAAAAAGAAGATTACCCAGAGATAGTCGTTAATAGTTTCTTTTCAACGTCTCTCGATCGCGAACATGCTCTCTTCGTATTGGACCCGTCAGTACCGCGTGACGATGATCTGCAGAGAGTGTTGTTTGAAATTAAATTATACACCCAGTGGCAATATCGTCCTTTTGGCGATATTTCACATTTATCTTCTTTTCCAACTGAAAGTGAAATTCTGCTCATGATAGGAACTATGCTAGATGTTCATGAGGTATCTTACGGTAGTAAAACAAATATATATTCCGTAAAGCTAAGCCTACCCAGTCTTTACGAGATAGAAGACGATGAGTTGGACAATATGACAGTCAGAGGAAAGTTCAAAAATTGTATAATGGAAATGGAAGCTACAGATGAAGATACGAGTTTTATTTTTAATGAGCTGAAGGAAACGTTTTCCGATGAGCAAGGACGGTTAGAGGCAATTGAGTCGCGTTGTAAAGCTTAACACTATGAATTTATCGAACACAATTACAATGAAGCACTGTTGCATTATGAAATAGCCGTAAAAGCTTACGAAAATTTTTTAAATGATGATGCATTAAACACAACTGTTGACATTGCGCGAATCTACTGTAATACTGGACGCATTCATCCATCAAACTTGAAAGATAACATCGTCGTAATCAAATATCATGATATTGCAATCACCAGCTGCATTTCTTCTCTTGAGAAAATGGTTAATCAAAGACAACGATTCACCATTTTCGACATGCTAGCAAACATATACCAATATAAAATACACTTAAGCACTGATGAAAATGAAAGACAAGATAATGTAAAATCGTGTATCCAATACAGAAAGCTTCAGTGGCAAGAACTCATAATGTACTATTCGCCTCAGCACATAAAAGTTGCAACATGTATTAGTACTTTAGCTGATTTACAAGCATCAACTTTTCTTTTCGAAAACGCATTAGTCAATTATGAAAAGCTTATAGAAATATGTCATTCCAAAGATAATCCAGATTTCTATTGGATTGCCAATACGTACAATACAATATGCCAGATGATGTGTGTAGAACAGAAAAAAGATTATAGTGCTGCTTTACTATATGAAAAAAGTATATGAGTACTGGGTGAAAGCCGATCAATACACTTCAAAGATCACCGAAAGAGATGAAAAATATTATGAACCTAATGCTGCTAGATACCATTTGGGACTGGCCGACATCTATTTGAAAATGCGTCTGTTTAAAACAGCCTTTGAGCATTTCACGATAGCGAGGCAAGGCTGTGCAGACAGCTTATTTGAATTTAAATACCAGGAAATTGCAGTTACTGAGTAACAGATAGAAGATCTGAAACCATTGTTGCTCAGATAAAATTATATGAATGCTTTCATTTATCAGTCGTGAACCGACACGTTTCAAGCAAGCTGTTTAGTAGTTATTTATTACTAACCAACTCAAAAAAATCGAACTGACCAAGCGACATTTTTTTAATTTCGCTTTCTTTATTGTTACAAGAGAGAGAAAGTAAGGAGAAAGAAAAAGTACATTAGTACATTAGTTAACTGAAGTAGGTCTGGTGCTCTAGCAAAGGCACAGCGATGAACCAGTGTTAATCCGTTTCTAAATTTTCTTAAGAGTAATTGGTTTTGAGTTTGGGTAGGAACGGATATAGGGAAAATATCCCGGCGAAATATGGAAAACTGTAAAAAAACATTTTCGCAGGATATCTGCTGAGAGGGTCTTACCACTTTTTGGACAAATTAACTGATTGTTTCCATCTTATGGAATAATCCGCTATTTTGTTACATATTTTTGTTCCTTCTTCTTCTAAAAAGTTAATCATTGATTTAATTTCTCTACATATTGATGGGGATATGAGTATATTGAGATCATCAGCAAATACAGTACTGGCCAAAAGAATCCCCCTCAGATGTTAGTTTCTATAAGAGCTAAACGTCTGAAAATTGGTGTCAAGGTAGTACACAGAAAATGCAGGTCAGCGGTGCCATCAGTGCCAGGATTGCTTAAGCTAGAATGAAGTTATAATAGATGGCGTCCACAACCAGTGTAAATTTTGTAACTCGAGAATAGAAAGAATTTTTGAGTCGACCAATCCCTCATTTTGTAGCTCTGCATTGTAGCTATTTCTGGTGTAAATTTCATCGAAATCACTAGCATAAGTTAAATCAAGGAAATAAATCTGGGAAGAAGAATTACTTATCACATGATGCGCATGAGATTAGAGTGTTTTCCGAAAACATTTCGTAGAGACAAATAATATAGAAAATTATTGATCCGTCTTTTTCTTTGGAAGTTGTGCTAGCGTACATGCTCCTACTAAGAGTAAGAAAATTAGAGCGTGTTGTCATATCAAGATCATTCGCGATATCTCTATTTAAGCAGAGTCTACTAAGGCTCAATTACATGAGCCCAAACATTTAGATTTATTACATGAATGAATAAAATTAATTGTGACGCTGTTAAAATCCATCCTCATTCTTCATCCAGGGACACTGTGGCGAGTTTGCATTTACCTCAAGGTCAAAAATCGAAGATGTCCTTCTACTCTCTCATGCGATAACACGGACAGAGAGGACGAGAAGGATAGAGAACAAATGGTAGGCTTCCAATCGCCGAAAAGCGGAAGCAATTATCAATAGTACTCGTGGCATCATAAAAGCCCTTCGATGTCCCTAAAGTTACTAACGAACAAACTACTTAGATAAATCATTCAAGAGCATCAAAGTCAAAAACCATTTGAGTAGTCTTTCAGTAGCTGTGATCCACTCGAATCATCCAAGTCAATGTAAAATACAAGTTACCTAGGCTCTCTTTGTCCATGTGTAATTGTACCTATAATGAAGTCTGATGATAAACGTTGTATCGCGCATATAATAAGAAACTGGTCCAGAAACAACAGCTATCATGGTTGAATAAACAAAGTATTTACTGACGAAGAAGATAACAAAAAGAACAAGTAATGGGTAAATGAATGTAAAGAACGAATCACTGAAGAAACGCCCAGTCACAGATTGTCTAGGTAAGTGCAGGATGACGAAAAGGACAATAAGGACCAAAAGCTAGCGAAGTGTTTTAATGACTAAAAGATTGCCATTTTTCGGAGGTTTGAAAGTTTGCAAAAATTGTTACTCTTAATAAATTAAAAGCAGGCACACCTTCTTGCGATCAAACGCGCCCAATTTCGCTGTTGGCTACGCACTCCAAGCTGTATGAGAAAGTTATCCATGAAAGGAAAAACTGGGCGGATCAAAATCATATAATTCCCGCAGAACAATCAGGCTTTAGGAAAAGTCATCTGTTACAGACTAGGGTGTTATCAATATATCAGGAAGTCAAGGACAACCTAGCAGCTAATATACCCACGCTTGCGATATATGTAGATTATAAAAAAGCATTTGGTATGGCCTGGCACACAGGACTGGTAGTAAAATTATTTAGAATGGGCTTGCCACTGAAATTTTTAAGCTAATTGTAAGTTGGATGTCCGAAAGACGATCCCTTGTAATCTTTGGAGACGTAAGGTCATGACTATTTCGCATTTACATCGGACTACCACAAGGTAGTGCTTTAAGCCCGCTCATTTTTATTATGTATCATGCAGATCTAGTCAAATGCACCGGCGCTTTTTCATGTCAGTTGTTTGCCGACGATCTGAACGCCTTTATAGTTTCTCCTACCACAAAGAATCTATCCACTGATTTCCTGAATGAGGAGGAAACTAAGGTATATAACCGGCTATTAAACAGCCCATCAATATCTCCAAGATCGTAGTGCAGGTTTTCCATTCACAAGTCCAGAAACCTAATGTAATAGTCTCGGTGGGTGAAAACTTAATAGAGATTGTTTCTAGATTTAAATATCTAGGGTTTACATGGACAGATAAACTTTCACTTAAGCCTACTGTGGATGAATGTCTAGAAAGTATACAAAAGTTATTTATTAAATTGAGCTGGTTAAAAAGGAACAAAAACATTGCTGCGAATGTACTCAGACTGTGCTTCTACGCATACGCCTTCGCTTTTTTTCCTGGATTTTCCCCTTCTTCCCTTTACACAACAAGAACTTTTCTATAGAAAGTATAGAGTAGGGCTCCGGTTAATTTACCGTTGCCCGTTCGTGACGGCTCATTACCTCTGTGAGTTCACGAACGAACCAAATCTAACTTTTCATGTTAAGAATTATCTAGAAAAAGACTTATCATCTAATGAATCTGATCTCGCTCAATCGTTGTTTATAAATAATATCTTCTTTTTGGACAAATTTAGGAGCGGGAAGGATTCAAGCCAAGGAAGCTTCTTTCGCCTTAAGAGGGTTAAACTCATGATTAGCAACCACAATTTAGAACGATGTTTTTCCTACCTTTTATAGTTCACCCTTTCTGTTTATTATAATTCAATCAAAAGTAAAATGTATTCGGAACTTTTTTGTGTACCCATCCTTGCAAGTGCCCAAGGACATAGCAATAAAATGCAAAACGCAAAAAAAAAATAAATGACATCAAACATAAACTGCGCGTGTTTAGTCAATAAAAGTGTCCTCAATGACATATTTTATGAAGCAACGTTCTATGACCAATACAGTCGACTGTATTCTATTCTCTTCTGTTCTTGCGAAATTACTATTTTGTATATATAGTCAAGATGTCTCTCTTTGCCATATGTTTTCCTGATGTTCCTGATATGTTCGCTACCCACTGGTCAAGTATGGAGAAAAAACTCAGACATCGATTGAGCACGGTTGTCTCTACCGTGCAATGGCTCTTAAAAGGATAAATCCAGGATTTCTATACTAAATAAATAGCTTTTACTGGAATGATAAATGTATTCGAAAATGTTTGGATCACACACTGGTAATTATATTTTTGCAAAGAGACAAAAGTTTTGAAAACAGTTTTGTCTTACGGGGGAAGCTCCCGAGGTGATAAATCGCTGTTTGATCGAAATCTAGTGGGTTATAGGTTATCGACCATGCTGATTCCGAATATGATCACGGGGATTGCGCATAGCCCTTCAAAGATCCGGCCCTCTGGAAAACCAAATTTTCAGAAACTCTAAAAGATAACCAAAACCTTTCTTAACAAGGCATAATTGTAGTCCGCAAATTTCTGATTATAATGAGACATCTCCCAGTTCTACACAACCTTTCTTTGCAAAGTATATACTACAATAGTACAATTTACAAGAAAAGCCATGACTGTCCTTTGTCAGCTCAAAAGCTCCAGAAGTAAGAAGCAAAAAATTAGTTTAGAGCTTTTCTTGTAAGCAATCAAGATTGTTGATAAGCTCTTAATCATTTTCGTATAAGCCTGTCAAAATGTATCAATCAGACTGAAGACTAATTATTTCTTATTTCCCATCCAACATCTTGAACATATCCCAACAAGGAAAATTTGGACGTATGTTCATACTGCCTGAGGAAAGGTTACTATTACTGACTAAATGAAAAGTCTAAAAAGGAAAGATAGATATAGACT